CAGGACTGTCATTCACACCTGTTGCAGATAGGAGTGTTGGATGTTATCCTGTTACCCCATTATTCTCTTCTTTGAATTTTAGCGGCTCGCTCATTTGTATGACACTCTTCATCGTGCATACAGTAAAGTAACAGAAGTTATGCATACAGGCAAGAGACTGCTAGGAACTTACTTCAGGGTAGCATTCTTTGGACAGGTGAGTAGCACTTATCGTTACTGCAGTATGCAATGAGAAAAGCCTTCATTTATTTTACAAGATGCACAGTTTCATCATTTTTGCTGATACCACGATATAAAAAGCACAAGAAATACGTCCTAAAATAAGTAGTTAAACATGTCAATAACTTGCTTTGAAATATTTACCAGTTCCAAAACAGTTCTTTCTTATTTTCCTCAGTAAATTTTTTGCTTTTTTTCCTCTCTTCTTTTATTTACTACCTTAAGGCAGCGGTAAGTTTTCTGTAATGTCAGTTCTCAGCAATGCATTGACTTAATGTCTGTGGTGCTGCAGTGTGGTTGGCAAGGCTGCTTCTTAGATTGGTGTGCATTCAGAGCCACTGCAATTAAGAAAAATAATAACGTTAAGTTCCATGTGGAGAACAAGTCGTTCCTGCCCATACATCGGGATGCATGCTTCAAACAAAAGTTCCGGCTGTGTACTGAGCAGCTTCACATCCTGCAGTACGTGTTTACACTGCATACGTATCAGTAGGGTAGCACGCAGTACCCAATAATGCACCTTCCACATGCACAGCCCAGTCAGTAGCTGTTAGCAGAGCATGGAGACTTGTGACATACTCTGAGTGGTGTAACTTTACATGTATTCTGTTGTCTTTTATAACTTCATAGCAATACCAGTTTACAGACAGTGAAACAGATGTTGAGGTAATTATAGTAACTGCTCATAAAGCGAGCAATGCAGTAACAACTACTGCATTTCACTGTAGTTTGGTGTGGGTACTTTTGTCAATCTGCCCTGTGTTTACATATGATATGTTGCGCTTTTCTCTTTTGTCTGTTACATTTTATGGCAGAAATATATTTACTTTCTGATTTCAAACATGAATTCAGACATGGCTTTTTGTTTTAAATCAGTCCCCTGTTTCACTTTCCACACAGTCTGTGTAACATTTGGCTATGGTTTCAAAAAAGAGCTCTAAGTAATGGAAATAAAGAAGCGTGGGCCAGAATGGAACAACACAGAATTAAGATGTTTTCCTAAATCAAATTTCAAACTGTTGTCAAAATCCTTGTTTGTGGATCAGATAGTTGTACAAGGCAACAAAACCTCTGTTGTGGCAAGTGAAACAGTACTGACAGTTCACTTTTAAAGTAAAAGTGAAGAAAATTCTTTTGTATCAAGGGCTTGGCACACCATAGCATTGCAACAAACCTTACAGTTTTAACTTTGTGTGTTTCCATTATCTTTCATTCATTCTGTAGTAGATGATTATTTTTCTCTTTTTTCTGTTCTGTTTGTTTGTTTGTTTTAGTTTTCTTAGGAAGCCTTTTATTTAACTTAGATTTTATTTGTTGATTTATATTTGCCTGAAACCTGATGTTTGATGTTGGTTTCCTTTGAACCACAAACATGTTCATCTTAACCATTGTTCAGCGTGGCTTTTTATTTTTTTCCAATATTTTGTTTACTTAATTGTTTCTTTGCAGGGATTCTTTGAGGATGAAGATGGAAAGGAGTATATTTATAAAGAGCCTAAACTCACACCTCTTTCAGAGATTTCTCAAAGACTCCAGAAACTCTACTCTGACAAATTTGGATCTGAAAATGTCAAAATGATTCAGGATTCTGGCAAAGTATGTTGTTTATTCTCTCTACAGGATTCCAATATATCACTTATTCCCATGAATCCACTTGAAATAATATGGGATCACTGTCATTTACTCATTTGGTGCACAACATGCATGTATAAAAACTGCTGGTTGAAGGTGATGGGAGAATCACCTCCTTCCAACCTGTAATTCATTCTGTACTTCTGTTATGCTGTAGAAGACCCTGCTTCAGCAGGGAGCTGGGGAGTAGATGATCTCCAAAGATCCTCTCCAACCTCCACCATTCTGAGATTAAGGACAGGGATATTATTGCCACATTCATATCACTGCTGTTGCCAGTGTGGTATTGAACTGTGGGTCTCCCAAGATGCTCCTCTGTTATCATCTTTACCTGGAACGTGCTCTTAGTAAAAAATTAAGGATCTAAACAAGATTAGTGCTGTAGAAGTGTTTCCTTCCACCACCACCACCTTGCCAAAGTCTCGTTAAATATTTTTCTGAGATAAAATTTGCCATTTATCTCTTGAGATTAGGTTAGTACTGTTGGAAGAGACCTTCAAAGATCATCAAGTCCAACTACTTTGGCCTCCTTGGGCTCCTCCTGCTGCTTTTAAGTTTTGTCGTAGGAATAGTTGGAACCTTTGAATGAGAAAGAATTACGGTAACCCGTAGGCTGAGAAGGCACAAGATGCCTTTCTGCATTCCTTTCATTCCCTTCGTCAGCCAGTTCAAGGCTTCAGACTCCACGTTGATTTTCTCACAGTCTAACTTCTTGTCTCTTCTGTTCACTGATCATATAAGCAAGATCACAAAGTGCTGTGCTTCTCAACCACTTACATTCAGCAATGGTGGGCTTTTCAATGCTTCTGCTCAAACTGGAGCTTTAAAGGAAGGGAGAACTTACGCAAGGGTTTAATTTCATGTGTTGGAAGATGAGATTTATATTGTACTCTGTTTTTCACAGCTTTTGCAGTGTACTCCAAATAAAGGCTTTAAACGTACCGAATTCTTTTCAAATAATTATAATCTGTCTGTTTGTCAGCATTCGTAGGGAACATTTCTATCAATTATGCTGGAATGAACACATAAATTACCAGTGAAGTTCCAGTCTAGTAATCAGAAAATATTGCGGATTTCTGTATCAAGCAGCATGTCCCATTGAAAACTGGCAGCAGATGGGTGACTTGAGTTCTATTCACATTTGCTCCAGCATTTAAAAGCTGACTTCAGGTGTATATCTGCATCACTGCTTTTCACAGTTTATAAAAGCCAATGGCTCACCATCAGGCAGAGATAACAAATATTTGGCAGGGGACTGAAATGGCAAGAGACAACGTTTAGAGGGGTGCATAAGTTTAGGGTCACCTCTTTATCTAATGATGGGGGGAATTTACAAGAAAAAATGTAATTGGTCCATTTAGGGGATTGGGACCCCATTGGGCAATGATTTTAGGAAGCCTCATCTACTGCTACTGGAGGTTAGTTGCCACTTCTACAAAATTAAAAACTTGGCACTCCAAACTGAACATGAAGCCTACGACATGGCCCCCAGCTTACTCTTTGGGATCAGTATAGGGTGTCACAACTAGGACAGCCAGTTGGTAGAAGTGCCTTCTGGAGGTAAGATCTGCACTGCCTAAAAGGTACATTTTTATTTTCAGCTGTTCACTTTTTATGTATTGCTAGTTTTGCTCTCCAGTATCTTCTTGTATCAGCCATCATTTGTTTTTGTTTCCACTCTTTTTTTTTTCTTCTCTGACTTCTCCTGAAATGCAGTATTTACTGCTAAGCAGGAATAAAACTATTTTTATTGCAGTTTTGCATATGGCAAATAATCATAGTGTTAAAAAAAAAAGACATGTAATGACCATACCAAGCTTCATAACAATTAGAAACTGAAGTCAGAGAAGCCCATGAGAGCATTAATGTTTTCTATGTTTGCAGCAAGCCAAATATAGTATCTGAAACTTGTGTAACTGCAATTAAATCCACTGTATTCAGAATTTAACTGTTTGGTTGTTTGTTTTTTTGTTTTTTCCTTTTAATGTTTTTAAGGTAAATCCAAAGGATTTAGATTCAAAATATGCACACATTCAGGTTACACATGTAGTTCTTTACTTTGAAGAAAGAGTTGCAAGAAAGGAAAGCAGATTTTGAAAGGACTCATAACATTCGTCACTTTATGTCTGAGATGCCTTTCACTCAAGTTTGGGATCCATCTTGTTTGGTCCAAGTAACATAAACATTATGACAACTAATGGATATTTTCATCACTGCTGTTAATATTAGGAAGTCTACCAAACTCTTCATTAAATGACTGTAGCAATCATTTTGCCTTCTCACATTAAGTTTATTGTCATTTTCTATGGCACGGCATCAAATTCATATCTTGCTGCTGCTCATATCAGGTTTTTCCCAACAGCTCATCCTGGTTTAATTTGCTTTACGCCAGTAATTTTCAAATGAGTGAAAGTGAGAGATCAGATGTTTTTTCAAGTGCATGAGGAAAACCAGATGTCTGTCGGGAAGATTTATCTATCTCTCTACAAGAAAATGCTTCAAACAGCTGGATGGGTACGTTTGAGTGGACATTTAATGTTTGAAAAAATTGAATTTGAGGCCTGGAAGATGTCTGGTCAGAAATTGGCTTCATGCTTTTGCACTAGTCAACATTCTTAGCACAACAACTACGGAGGGAGCTGAAACTTCTGATACAGCTATTAAGTAATGAGTTTTTTTTTTCAATTGCCCAAGTTGTAAATGAAACAGATAAGTTCTCAAGGGCATACAGATAACTGCAAGAAATAGCCTTAGTTAAGCAAAACTGTTCTCTTGATTGCTCAATCCCCAACTCTGAGAACTCTCTGTATGCTATGTAGTGAGAGGTAAGTTCAGAATTATATTTGATTTAGTAAAGATTTAGAAGCCACTTTAGCCATAATAATCAATATCAAGGAATGTAAGGCAGCAAACACCTTTTATACGTTTGATAAGTGGAGGAATTGTCAGCATAACTATTTAGCCTGTGACAAAAATAAGAATCAGAATCACAAGGTTGGAAAGGACCTATAAGAGCATCTAGTCCAACCATCCTCCCATTACCCTTGCCACCACAAGCACTAAACCATATCTCGCAGCACGTCATCCACACGCCTCTTGAACACTGCCAGGGACGGCGACTCCACCACCTCCCTGGGCAGCCATTGCAGTGCCTGACCACTCTCTGAGAGAAAAAGTTCTTCCTTATGTCCAACCTAAACCTCCTCTGGTACAACTTGTGGCCATTTCCTTGGGTCCTGTTTGTTGCCTGGGAGAAGAGGCCAAATCCCTTTTCATCACAACCTCCCTTCAGGCAGTTGTAGAGTGCAATGAGGTCTCCCCTGAGCCTCCTCTTCTCCACACTGAACAATCCCAGCTCCCTCAGCCTCATAAGACTTGTGCTCCAGACCCCTCACAGCTTTGCTGCCCTTCTCTGGACACGTTCCAGGGCCTCAATGTCTTTCCTGTAGTGAGGGGCCCAAAACTGAACACAGTACTCGAGGTGCGGCCTCACCAGTGCTGAGTAGAGGGGGATGATCACCTCCCTGCTCCTGCTGGCCACACTATTTCTAATGCAGGCCAGGATGCTGTTGGCCCTGTTGGCCACCTGGGCACACTGCTGGCTCCTGTTCAGCCGAGCATTCCACTGCATTCACTACTTGTGCTCAGTCCCAAAGGTCCTCATCTCTTCTGTCTGATATTCATTGCAGTTAGCAGATGTAATCACTGAATCCCTTCTTTGTGCCAGCTGTGGCAATACGTGTGGTACAAAGCTGAGGCTGCAGCACTCGCTCACAGCTAATGGTCTTTTTTAGGTCCACGGTCAGCTGAAGCTAAAGCTTGTTAAAAGAATCAAGGTTCTGCACAGAAATTCTTAGAACCTGGAGTTCCCAAATCCAGTTTCATTTACAAGGAGTCTTCTCTTGGAGATTGGAAGGCTGCAGGAAGGCCTCACTGCGACCTCCCAGTACTTGAAGGGAGCTTATAAACAGGAGAGGGCCCGACTTATAAAGCCACCTGATAGCGATAGGACAGGGGGGAATGGCTTTAGGCTAAAAGAGGGGAGCTGAAGGTTGGATGTCAGGAAGCCATTCTTGACTTAGAGAGCGCTGAGGTGTGGCACAGCTGCCCAGAGAAGCTGTGCTGCCCCGTCACTGGAGGCTCAAGGCCAGGTTGGATGCGGCCTGGGCAGCTGAGCTGGTGGGGGGCAGCCCTGCCACAGCACGGGGTTGGGGCTGGACGGGCTGTGAGATCTCTTCCAGCCACCTCCATGATTTCATGACGTCTGATAAAAAGCATTCTAGTTCTACTTGTTTCAGTGCCCTTTTCTAAAGTTTACTTCTTTTATTTCTATATTGTAGTTAATGTTTATTCCTTTCTATTTAGGTATTAATACACATAATCCTAACTGTATCCTTAGATATACGCTGTATGTAAACTAAAGCATTAACAAATCTCCCTCTTTTCCTACCAGGATGCATTATACCGCCTTGAAGCTTACAAGTTCTTGACCAAAAACTGCCTTAGATCTTCCTTCCTTCCTTCATTTTTTAATGCAGCTCATGCAGCTAATATGCACAGCTGTCATCAGAACAACTTTCCAGCTCCGAGATTTAACAATAACTGATTGATATCTTATTTAAATTACTTGTGGGTGATGTAAGAAGAGGAAAATTTATGGTTTCGGTCACAGTGCCATCCAGCCTCCTGACCATGCTTGAGACTCAGCTTCCCCCTCACTGAAGCTGTGGCTCCCAAGAACCTCTTAGCTACAAAGAACAGAGCCGCAGAATGAAGAAGTGGCTACACTTTGTCATTTCTATTCCTTCTCCCTTTCAATATGTCAGACATAAAATCCACATACTACCATGAAAGCTAAATGGCAGTTTAATAGCACTCCATAATCCCAAGTCATTTTAAAAGCAGTCCGTGTGACTCCAACTTCACCCCGATACAAAATGCAGCAGTGCCTGTTGGCAGAGTGTGGCAATAGTTTCATAATGCATACAGCTGCATTGCTTAACAGCAGAAGTTACAAAGCGTGTCCCACCCTGTGAAGGACAAGAGATAAGTGAGAAGCAGCGTATCCCTTCTGCCCAGACTAACCTTTCAGCTTTACCATCTCACTCAAGCGCTGGGTCATTCTCAGCCGTTGTCTTCTGAGGTACTGCTTGATCCTTGGTCTGCCCGTTCCTGCCACAGCTTCCTGTGGATAAAGCCTTCCTCTAGGCAGACTGCCTGCAGCCCTTCTGCTCACCAGTGCGTCTGCAAGGCCCCATCTCTGAATGCTCCTTTTTCACACTTCTCCATTTCCTTTTGGTCTGGCCAAAAAGTAATTGTTCTTCCCACAGATCAGCTGTTTAGCCAAAGCCTTTGCCATGTTCAGCTCCTTTCAGAGCACATGCTAGCAGTGCTCAGGCTTGGGAAAAAAGCCATCAGACAGAACATTTCTTGGTTGTTACTGGGATGTTGTTCAGAGCATCATGTGTAAGGTGAGCCAGACACCAAAATGTTGAACCTATCTGCACATCTGTACTATAGTGGTGTCCTAAATCTCCTCTCTGTCCTTTCCTACCGGAGTCACCCTGCAGCTACAGTTTGCCAGGGCCCACTCCAGAGCTGGTTCTCTCTGCTGATCGTGGAATCATAGCTCAGGTTGGAAAAGACCTTAAAGATCATCGAATCCAACCACGACCTAACTGACAACCCTGATGGCACCACGTAACAAGGTGGGCATCATTCAGGAGCCTCATCAAGGCAGCACGTGACTCTGTACAAACTCTCTGAGGCTACTACAGAAAAATAAAACAGTCAGCAGTGTTTGCCTGTGAAAAAGCTATGGTTCCAACCGAGTGCGAGGTGCAGCACACCACAGATGCCAGCCCAGGGCTACTGATTTGGGTGCTCCCAATGGCAAGCGTATACCCACTGCCAGCTGTTCCTAAGTCAAACACAGAGGAAAGCTCAGAGTGTGCACCACAGGAAAAAAAACCCAAACCAAAACCAGCAATGGCCAAGAGGTCTCCTTAGGAGTTTGTGTGACCTGATAACAGTAGGAAAAGGAGCTGCATTTAGCAGAACCCGTGACGAACAGGAACTGTGGAGTTTCTCGAGGAACAAGACATAAGTGGAAAAGGAGGATGAAGATGATACCTTGTCTTGTGGCCATGTTTTCTGTTTTCTGATCACTTTTAGAGAGTTCTCAAAGAGAGGGTAGGGTTAATCTTTCTCTACAGGAGGATGAACATGCCCACGGATGCCTCCCATTGGGACACACCAGTAAGTAGAGGAAAGGGTGTAGTCTGGGGAAACAAGAATAAATAGGTAACCCGATTTTATCAGAAAGGAGGTCAGTACCTACAGGCCCATCCTGTCGATACAACATAATGAAACGTAACCGTGTCTCAAGGGGAGGAGGCAGCCAAATGTTTCTGTCTGATTGGACATGCTTAACTCCAGCATTAAGTCAGATACAAGTGGGCTCTGTACTTGTACTTGCTCCATCTGAAACATCTGCAGTTTTGCAGGGATAAACCCAAATTAACTTTTGATGCACAAATTGATTCTCAGCCCTCCAGTCCAAGTGAGCCGTGCAGCCCACGCCACCCTGCTTTGCTGGCTGGTGGTTGCAGAGCCCGTTACTGAAGTGCCCAGGTGTCCTATGGCCTTTCCATAACAACTTGCTTTTCTGTTCTTGGCTGCTTATTTTTATAGTTTTATCAATATCTTGCTAGGAGCGTGCTAAAGAGCTTTGCTCAAGGCCAGCTGTAATCACTTGTTTGTGTAAGAGAGCACTACAGGGCTGGTCTGCTCTACAGCAGCTCCCAATCAAATGAAACCAGCACTGTTTATTCTGCTTGCGTGCCTTTTCCCTGCCTTCTCTTTACTTTTCAACATAAATTGTTGGGAGATGTTGCTTTGCATTGATTTTGTGTCATGAGGGATTGTTTCCATTTATAAAAAATATTTCTGTATACGGTGTATCCGTTGTATACTTTTGGCAATCTTAAATCTTAGAAGATTTTTCCATAGCCTGGATGTGAGGCCACCGGGCTCACCATGGTCCATTCTGTAAAGCTCACTCCTTTGGAAAAAGCTGTAGAAGAGAATGAACTACA